AACGTCGACAATCTTCCGAGAATCAATAATTTGGAAATTACAAAATGAGAAAGATTCGCTGGAACTTCACGTCTCAACGATTCTGTCAATGGTCAACGTGAATGAAAGTGTAAAGCTCATGAAAACGCCTGTCTTAATCGGCAGGGAGATCTTTCGTTGGCAGGAAGGAAGGCTGCCAGAAAACTGCGAACAAACGATAATGAGCATGTTATGCTATGGTAACAGGCCAGATAATGAGAATTGCTCCCGTAAATCTTCAGTTGCGAGGCCATTTGTCCGTAGGGCGGTGTACGCGGGATTTAAAACCGTCGTCACGTGCGTAATTTTCCTTTAGAGGCGCGAGGAAACTCGCGCCAAAACTTCGCCGGACGACAGAAGAAAACACGTAGAACGGAGAAGGCAAGGAAAAAAGAAAAAAGCAACGTGCCATTTTTCCTTTCGTCGTGTATAATTATCAACGATAATTCTCTTTCTCCGTTTCCACCTTCTCTTGTTATTACACCAAGGTGAACGATAATCGCACGGCGCAACCGAGGACAACGCAACGAACGAAACTCCTCTTAATCCCGTCGTGAAATCTTTCCTGCTTAATGTCTGGTCTCTAGGATCGATACAAGGGTTTACAAGGACGATTAGCAGTGTTTGTACGCGTCTTTTCATCTTCTATCTAGCTTGCAACGATCACGAGTGCAAATCAGTAAAAAGTGAAACGGGGGAGGAACGGTGGAGGGATAACAAGTATCCGTTGTCATGGTTATACGTGATGTAACAGTATATATTCCTATTACTCTCGAACTCGTTAAAATTGTATTGGAAATCGTTAACTCCCGCGGTTACGCGACGACGACGTTCTTTGTCGCGAAATGTTAGCTTCTTGCTGTATCTGCGAATCCTAAACCCTTTCGTCGAGTTTGCGTCGAGTATACCCGTTCCGAAACGATCGCTTTTTATCTTGTCCAGTATACTCGTCACGGGCTAAAGGAAAATTCGCATTTGCTGCTGGGGGTAAAATTTAGGTGACGACGAACACATTCGTTTCAGAATACTTTAGGATAAAAAGAATATATCAGTCGACTCGGGTGGTAATATAATTTTTTACGAGATGATACAATGAGATATAATATTAAATGAAAATATATGTAAGTATTAAATGAATATAAAAAAATATATAAAAATAGTACATGAAAATATATACAAATATATATATTATATATATTATTATATAATTATATTATAAATATTATATATAAAATATTATATACATAAATATATAATATTATAAATATTATATATATTATATAATATTATAAATATTATACATAGAATATTATATATATTATAAATATTACATATAAAATATTACATATATTATAAATATTATATATATAAATATCAAACGAAATATAAATAGAACTACAAAAGAAATTAATAATAAAATATAAAGAAAGAAACTATAAAAGAACAGTTGGAAAATTCTGTCGTCTCGTTAGAATTTATTTCAATTTCGCAGCAAATGGATCTACCCTGCTTTCGTCACTCGATCGCGGCGTAAAAATAATCAAACGCAGAGACGCCACTTTCATCACGTTTACTTGTTCTTGCGATCGACAATAAAGATTCGTCAATGAGAGTCTATGAAAATGTGGTTATTAAATATTTATTACAAAATAGAACATTAGTATTACGACAGACTTTCACGCGGTGAATGATACATGTAAATTTAATTCGTCGATTGTGTGGAATTTGGAAATGCCAGCGCGATCTTTTGTCGCAGCAAACCGATTCACAGCAGATTGGATAAACGAAAGAGTCTGGAGGAAAGTGGAGGCAGAGGACCGATCGAAGGTACTCGGGTTCGAAGAGCATGTATTTCACGTTCTTTCCGATACTGGAATGTATGCATCCGCAGCAACGGCGAGTTTGCTACACTCTTTGCGAGTTTGCGCGGCCACTTCGTTCCGTACTCGGCAACTTCCACGGTTTTCCGTGTTTCTGAATATTTACAGGCCACGTGTCGCGACACGAAATTGCGCAAACTTTTCAAATAAGCCGGATGATTGTGCGAACCGATCCGAGGAGCACGTTGCCCGCCACGACCTGCTCCGTCTCTCGACGTTAATCAGAAGCTCGTTAAAGGTACCGCCGTGATGTGTCTGACGTGTTCGAGATTAATTTCAGAAACTCTGGTTACTGATTACCAGAGCCATCGTATTATCGGGTTTTCTTTCAGCGAATCTTTCACTCCTGGCTCGCGAAGTTATGCCCGCGACAATTTCATTAGCTTCTCTGCACTTCTCGAAGTTATTTCGCGAGAATTTTACAGCCTGTCAAAAACAGAAACTTTGAGGAATTTTCATTTGCATGTTTTCGCGATTTCATGAAATTAGAAATCGATCTTTTTAAGATCGTTGCTGTTTCTGTAATCTATGATTCAATTATTTTCTCACATTTTTCATGGAATCTTTTATTCCCGACTACGATGTTACTTTGTGACAATTTTGTTGGTTTCTTTGCACTAGACAAAATAGAAACTTTGAGATTTTGCGAAATTAGAGATCGAACCCCTTCACGATCGTTGCTATTTATGTTTCTGTAATCTATGATTCAATTATTTTCCCTGATTTTCCCCAGATCGAATCTTTTATTCCCAATGATGAAGTTACTTCGAGATAATTTTCTCTTGACAAAGGGGAAACATGAATTCTCACCTACGTTACGTTTATGATCTTGCGAAATCATAAATCAACCCCTACCACTTATAACCGGAGTTGGGCAAAATGTAATCTGACTAATGATTAATGATTATAATTAATATGGAATCGGGATATTAATCATGATTACTGATTATCAAATGATTAATGAATAATGGAAATAAACGAGATCGTTGTAATCACAGGTGACGTTTAATTTAAATAATCATTAGCCGTAAAATGATTAAATTTTTGATTATGACTGTATCAGTTAGTTTACATTCATCAACAACATTGTATATTTCGTAGAAACTACGTAATTATTATTGTTTAATCTACAATTTTTAATATTCAAAAAATTGTCCATCAACGATCTTACCTGTGTAATTTTTGAGTCATTATTCGGGTCCAATTTTTTATACGAAGATTTTGAGATTTCTCATTCCACTTGTCAAACATTGATGCTAAATATCAATAAGTTATAAACTTTGACAAACTATTGTAAATTTCATAACGCAGATACTATTATGCAGCAAAATAGATGTTGATCTGTTACTTGCGAGCAACATTCATTATATATAAAATAGCATAATTACATAATTAATACGTTTGAACGTGTTTGTGGCAATATAAAGATACGAAATATAAATTAATGACTTAATGGTAACTTTTACTAGTAACTTAACGACTTAAAAGTTACTCATTGATGATTGAATAATTACAAAAGTCAATCAAGATTTATCAATGATTAATCGATTAACAATAACAATTACAATTACAAAAATGATTAAAGAGTAATTTATTATTGCCCAACTGCGCTTACAAACTCAATTATTTTCTCGTTAACCACGACAACGACTGAGAAGAAGGATCGAGGCCACGTCTTAAAGGAGCGTTTTCTTTTTCCATGTTAAACAGCCCGGAAGCGAAATTTATTTTTTTCCCTTTTTTTTTTCTCTTCTTAAAACTCCCCGAAGTATTGGCGCTGAAGAGAACGCGCGTCCTTTTCCTTTCTCTTTTTTTTTTCTTTTTTTAAGTTCGCGCGATCCTTTGATGTTTCAACGTTGCTGTTAGAGTCACGGTCTATCAGCCGTGGACGCGCAAATGAGAAACTCCTGATTCTCATTTGAAATATTCAGAAACGCGTGTCACGTTCCATCTCCTCCTTCAGCGAAATATTATTTGTCGGCGGTGAAAATTATTTTTCAAATTACCTCGCCTCAGATTGCCTGTCTGATGAGGGTGAATCGAAAAGGGGCTTCCCCTCTATCCGGGTATAATACTTTACCCGCGTGGAATTATACATTTCTGACATCTCGGCGAAGAACATTCGACGAACGTTGTAATAATTGCAATCTAGTGTGAATCGTTGCGTGAAATTGCAGTAAAAACGAATATTTGAACGTGTATTTACAAAATTTTTGTATTAATAATATACTATTATTAATAAAAAATATTATTATATTATTATTATAATATATATAACAATAATATATTATATAATATATTAATATTAATATTAAATACTATTACAATAATAATATAATATTTTGTATTAATAATATACTGTTGTTATATTATTATAATATATATAACAATAATATATTATATAATATATTAATATACAATATTAATATATTCCAGCTGTAGAGTGTCAATTATGATACAGTTATAGTACGTTTGGTAGCAAGCCGCGAAACAAAGATCCGCGAAATTTTAATCGTACCATTTCGTAAATCTATGCAAAATCGCGGCAGATGATTAGAGTAATCTGACAACGCGACGGAAAATTCGAAACAGAGCTCTCTCTTGAACGCGAGATTCCCGATTCCATTTATTTCTTATGGAGAACGAAAAACAGCGGGAAGAAAACGAATTTACAACGGAGGTTTCCAGAGAGGGTTTACAAATATCGCGGTGGCTAATTCCGTAAGTGCTGCTGCAAGTTGCGCAAAGAATTCTCCCTCTCTTTTTTATCGGGAGGAGAAAGGATTCGCTGTCCAGTTTAGAAAATCAACTTGGCCAGTCCATCTGGTTAAAAGACGAGAGGGAAGTAAGCGGACTGCAAGTCAAATGCGGAACGGTAGGACTGGAATACGAATTGGTGTCGACGGTGGAGAGTTCGAAATTTATCGACTTAATCGTTTGAGTGTAAGAAAACCGGTCGGGGGCGGGTTGAAACGAAGTTGGCGAAGGAACTTCCTCGAAACAAATTGGAACTTGGTTCTGTTTTCTAACCGGTGTTGCGAGCCAACACACAGCCGTGGGTACGTAGGTATAAATGTAAATACGAGGCTGAGGAACGCTTACCCTTAATTTAGACAGGAGCGAGAAATCCGTGACCGCCTTGAGCGTCACTTTGCCAAGGGAGTGTTCTGAAACAGAGACGAAAGGAGAGGCAACGTTAACAGACGATCGACGACTGTTGACCGATGAATTTACCATAATTTAAAATTCGTATCGTTTTCGTGTTTGGAATTTAAATATCATTCAATCCCTTACAGTCGACTTTTAACCTCCTGCGCTGGAATGACGTGCCACGCACGTCGAGGATTCTTTGTTCCAAAATTGCGATATTTTCTCTCAGTTTTTAAGTATATTTCAGTGAAACAATATTTTGCCTATTGGTAGAACAAGTAATAAATTTATTACTTGTCAATCATTTCTATCCAGTGATATCACGCCGACGAGTTCAAAGAGAAAGCGAGGAATTATTGTGTACGGTTCGGTCACTCGTTATGGTCCGCAATCAGTTGCCCAGCGCAACGTGGTTAAGATTCTATTTAAATCTGGCTAAGGACTTTCTTTTTTTTGTTTCTTTTTTATAATTGCTGACGATTTTAGTGGACGTAGGTATATATTTGATGTTGTATAATATTACGTGACAATATAATTGTAATAATAGTATAAATATTAGTATGCGTAACTGTATTAAAATTATAAATATTAATATGTAATAATATAATACGATATAATATGTAATAGTATAAATATAATATAATATAATATAATATAATATAATATAATATAATATAATATGTAATAATATGTGATAGTAAGACAATAGTAAGATGATATATCATCTTAGAGAAATATAATCAACAAAATTTCATGCTAAACACCGTTTAGAACAGGATGATAATTTGCTACTTGTCATTTGAAGTGATACTTTGCTCGCTGTTCCGCAAATAAATAGATGGCATAACAAGAGAAAAAGAAAAAGAAAAAAAAAAAAATTCCGAGGGCAGAGGGTTTAAATGGAATTTCGTACTCTTAAAAGGAGGGAACATATTTCGGGAAAGTGGCTGAAGATCATACGGTCACGCGCGATTGTTCTCAGCATCGATTTCACCATTTCCCGCTTCGGCACGAAACAAAAGAAGGCTAATCCCCAGCATGCGTTATCCAGTCCACAAATCTACCATCGATCTGCGGATAATACGTTCACGACTCGCAGATAAAATCCGCAACAAGTATCAGATCTACGGAAAGGAGATCAGCAAACACAAGTCTGCTTACGCGCGCGGGGCAAGAATTTTTTCGTTCCAGGCCCGCGTAAATAATTCATCGAGGGCGGAGAGGATTTCCAGAGTGTTCTATGCGGATTCTATTTCGCTGGACAAACGTGCAGACGAAAATACCGACCGGACAAAAGGAGGGAGGTTTTTTTTCACTCCCTCCGCTCTGGTTATGAGAGACAGTAGCGAGAAACGGCCGCGAATACCCGCCGGTATTCTATGTTGCACGGTTCGACAAACAGCGAAACAAAAAACTTTCTATTAATGGGAACAAAAGGCCCCACCCCACGGTCGAAATCTATTCCGCCGGTTATGCGCCGAGTAAGCCGCTTTTCGCGGCGACTGCTTTCAATTTGGCGTCGTTCGCCGAATATTCGCGGGGAAACCGCGTCGGGGAAACGCTCGATTTTCCCTTCGCGATACGTAGCGACACGTATATGTAGAAACCGCGGCCGGATGCAGCTCGAGCTTTGAATCACGATTCGCGGTCGAACGACGAGCGAGGCGCCTGTGTTTACAGGAGAGCTAAGGGTGGAGCTGCAACGTACCGTGAGAGCGAGGTATAAAAATATTGGGCTATGTCGAAAAAATGCAATCGCGTTTTTTTTTTTTTTTTTTTGATACACACACGTATGTGTCTTAAAAAGTAACGTGGTATCATTTTTAAATCTCAGATTCGTTGCGTGATCCGATGTCTGATTGTCCAAGCTTGTTAAAAAAAAAAAAAAAAAAAAAAAAAGAAAATTTCGCACGATTTCGTTGACGACTTATTCGTTATTTCGCAAACTCGTAAAATATTATCCGACGCCAAACTACAGCGATGTCAGAGTTAGTTTCACTGCTGATGAGGATATCAAGCCGTTTTTTTTTTCTTTTTTTTCTTAAAAAGATAAGACGACCTTTTTTGAACGCGGAAAGATGGCAAAAGATCGAACAAAATGGACAATATAGAACGGTCGAGTTATGATGATGCAAATAAGAAATTTTTTGACCATTGTTAGATCAATAACTGGTAAGAATATTTTTTTTCCAAAATAATTTCTTTCGAAATTTCCTAGGTCATTGATATCTTTTCTTTTAGACAATTATGTACTTTTTTATTGCATCGTGTAATTGGTAAAAAAAAAAATATGTTCAGGTGTAAAGAACATGATCTTAAAATGACACAGATATCCAAAAATTTAAGCTGTCCTTTTAAAGAACGATTGGTTACTTTCATATTGCTGCAAACCTCAGTCAGAAAGATATCTAAATGACGAGTCATTATAATAATTTTTTTCTTAAAGATGTTTTTCTAATATAACAAATTTTTGACGAAATTAGAAGTATTAAAATTATAAATAAAATAATTATTTAAAAAAATTATATAATTTGGAAAATAAAATAATTTTATCATTAAATAAATATAGTTATTATTATAAATTTTAAAATTTTTTATTAATAACAAATTAATATAATAAATAAATATATATATATACATATATTATAAAATAATAAAATTTAAATTATAGTAAGATATTTAAACGAACCACCCAGTACATCATCTAACAAAGTTTCTGTTTTCGCCCTTCATTTACACAGAAAACAGATTTTATTCGATAAAAAATTATTCGAATAATGACGAATAAGTGTCTGAACCGTTGTACGATTTCGTTCTCTGGTCGATTAAACGAATAAATATGACAACCGTGCGAGACAAGAGTAGGGCGACACGTCCAAACTATTTATGTAGTCATAAAATGACGATGGCGCTTCAGTGTCACAATCAATGTTAGATAATATCCTACCATCACGGGACGTCATCGTCACGCTATCGTGAGAGCGTACATTGTCGCGGTCGTCTATACACTTGTCGTAGATGTGATTTTATAAAATACACAATGATAATATGGGAACATTCTAAGGCAGAAAAACCCGTTTCTACCAATAAAAATTAATTTTAAATCGTTTGCAAATCATTAAGTAGTGATTACGTTAATATACATTATTAAATATAATTACAATCTATTTATGATATTATTATATATCTTTATCACGATATATGTATATTGTTACATTATGTGTAATAATGATCATTAAATAATGAATTATTTTTAAATTAACGTTTTTATACATTCTTATTTCAAAATCAATAGGAATTTTTTTAGTTCAAATTCATCAGTCTTTCGCAATGGCAGTTAAGAATTGAGATAATTTGCGAAGCTAACGAGTAACTTTATCATCTTCCAACAAGAAATTCAGATATAAAGCTAAGGACCACGTTCGTATGTCTGACGAAAAAATGGGAACTTTTCATTTAGTAAGGAACATTGCATGTGAAAGAAAAGTTTGCAAACTTTACCTTGCCTTATATGATCGAAAAATTATATTATACGATTTTACAGAACTTTTATTCGAACAAGACAAGAATTCGATTCGAACTTCCATTCTGGAACTTATTATGTAGAAGTGTTGCAATACTCTGCGATCTTTTCTGCCGCGCTTATATACAGGGTGTTTCGTAACTTGACTTATCTGTCTTCGTTTATGAGATATAATGAATTGTCTGATTTAATTGCTTTTACAAAAGATGCTCGAAATGACCAGCTTGCATTTGAAGACAAGCCTGCACGCGTTTCGTCATTCATCTGGTTACTCTCTCTATCATTCCTGGTGTTTCTCGAATTTGTCGGAAGCCTTGCTCTGTTCTATTTCGTAATATTTCAGCATGTTCAATCGATGTTGCGTATACAGTAGATTTTAAATGTCTCAGCAAATGAAAATCTAATGGATTAAAATCCGGAGAACGAGCAGGCCATGCAATAGGACCTCCACGACCAATCCATTTATTTGCAAAGTGTTGATTGAAAAATTGCCTAGCCACTCGGCTAAAATGCGGCGGAGCTCCATCATGCATAAACCGCATAC